TAAAATGTTTTTAATGTTTATCTTTATATGTGAAGGAAATCTAAAAATAATCGATATTTCAAATGTTCATAATCAAAATGCTTGGGTCACTGTCTGTTCCGTTCATGATATGGTTTCTAATAGCATTTCCTATAAGAAAAGCATGCAGGGTAAGATCGACCATTTAAATACCTTAAATATCTATGCATGGCCCATATTTATTCAATGGAAGTATAAGCCTTTAAGAAGAGCATGACTACATAGATTCGTCGCAAGCTTGGAACAACAATATTATTAAGACATCATGCTGTTAGTCGAAATTGCTTACCTCATTTTTCAAAAGTAAAATACATTCCTGGACGCATTTGCTAATCGAAACAGGAGAACTATAAACATTTATATACGTCACAAAAGATTATTCAGTTAAATTATAGAAAGTGGGACGATAAGTGCTGTTGTACCCAAATTTATAGCTGATCTGTAATAAACATTTCATGGAAGTATAGCAATTTTGTCATTTCATTTGAAACACTGCAACATAGTAGTGAGAGCCCAAAAAGTAGAGTTAAAAAGTGTTATACATTTCGTGGTCTTAATTGTAGGTGGCTGGAAGATATCCAATGTAGACATTGGCGAAAATGGACCGTTTATGTGAAGGTGTTGATTTGCTCTATATTCGAACTTGTTTTGGCTTTTTAATGAAATATTAAGATGTGCACAATTTGGATCGTATTGGTCATTGCTTTCGCTTGATATTAGATTAACAAATATTCAAAATTTTGACTCTTTGCTTTGTCGTATTCGTGCATGACAAAAAATCATACAAGATATAAAAGCAACCAACCAATCGAACAAATTTTGTTTGTAAAGCCAAGTGTCCGAATGCAGATTTTCTTTCGGAAGTTGAATGCAGAAGTGACTTCCAGAGATTTAAGTCATGTAAACACGTAGTAGAAGTCGACATCCAGAAGTCACATCTTGCAAAAGAGACTTTCTAGCGATTATTTGACTTTGCTGAAAGTAACGTTGGTGGTTCCCTATAAACTGGAAGTTTTTGTAGACTTGCAGATATTAAAAAACTCGCCGTTTGGGGAGACTGGGAACATTTTTAAGAGCTCTATATTTCAGTACTTATTCAACAGATATAACAAACTTTATGTCTGATTATTGTCCTCTGATAGCGGGCACATTCGGCACCATAGTCATAGCCTGGTAATTATCATTGCTAACTGTCTAGTTGGAATTCAGATCCTCTAAAGGTTATATTTGGTTAAATGTGCGACTCAGTGTTTGACTTTAAGGGCTATATTTTCTACCGGACACACACCATCAGACATAGTTTTTTCTATTGCATTTTCGTCAATACAAGCACGTTTGGTCTTATATATGTAATTTCGGACCAACAGATGTAATTTACACTGATTTTAATAAAGCATTTGACACTGTAGTACACAAACTTTTATTATTTAAATTGGATACCATGGGGATTTCATTGTTAAGTTTTGTAACATTCCACACATATATATTTGAAGATTTAAAAGGGATGAAAAAAAATTTACAAAAAATTGGGTAATTTTGTTGTTGTTGTTTTTTGTAATTAAAGAGAAGTCCTTGTTTTTGATGGCGGGCATTATAACTCCTCATTGGAACATCGGAATACGAAAATTCCAACGGTGTTAGAAAGTCTGGCAAGTCTGGCTCTCGTATGAACTAGGATTATTGACTTCGCTCTAAAATTAACAAAATGCCCGACCTTTGAAAAAATATTTTTGGAAAATCGCCGATTTTGGACCGAAAACCAAGTTAAAAATATGGAAGATCTTCACCGATTAACTTTATCCTAGTTCATACAATAGCTATACACTCCCAGAGAAACGTGTAAAAATTTGGAGTCAATTGGGTTATTAGTTTTTGAGTTATCGTGCCCGCCATTCGCAAAAGAGAAAACGCGTTTAACGTTTGAGAAGCCCTTTAGCCGTCACATGATGCTGACACAATAAATCGGCTATATCTTCACGGGTTCTTCAGATTTTAACATGAAATTTTATAGGGACATTCTTGAGTTAGTGTAGATTCGAATTAAATCAAAAAAATGTTTGACCCCGAGAATGGGGGGTCCCTTTAAATTATCTTCCTTCAGTGATACAATTTTCTAAAGTGCTAATGTTTGCTGATGATGTGAAACTATTCAAGAATTTATAGTTGCAAAATCAAGTAAGAATTAGTGAAACAATAACGCCATGTCACTCTTAAGAAATGCAAAAAAAAATAGGTCTCGGTCAATTCCTGTCCATTATTTTATTGGTTCTTACAAATTAAAAAATGTCGCTTCCTTTGTGGATCTTGGTGTCATCACAGATGCGAAATTGCGATTTAATTTACATATCGAGTCTTGTATTAATAAAGCGAAATCTTTACTAGGATTTATAAAACAATGGACTATGGACTTTGACGACCCTTATGTGACAAAACGTTTATTTGTTAATCTAATCTAGAGTACGGATGTATTTTATGGAGCCCGTTTTGCAACTGTTTTTCCAAAAAACTTTAATCTGTCCAAATTCAATTTCTATTATTTGCTCTTAGAGGTTTGCCTTAGAGTACAGTTGAAGTACTTCCCCCTATGAAAATCGCTTAAAACGTATTGATCATCCAACATTAAAACGAAGACGTTTAATGCTTAGAGCTTTATTTTTAATAAGACTTTTACGTGACCAAATTGACTCAAAAATTCTAATCGGTGAAATAAACTTTAATGTGCTTTCACGTTTTACTAGTAATTATATACCGCTATATCTTTTTTTAGTGAGATCTAATTTTGAGCTAAGTAATCCGCTTAGATCAGTATGTGATATATATAATAACTTGTATAATCATATTTCCATGTCTGATCCTATACATATTATTAAAAATGCTATTCTACATATAGAACTATAGATGACAAGTAGTTACCAGATGTTTGTCCTTCCTGTATGTAGTTTAAGTAACTTAGTTAGTTTAAATTGATTTATATTGATATTCGATACCTATGGATCGAAGCTATGTCGAAAACGCGATTGACGAATGAGTCCCGATGCCGAGTATCCCCTGCGTGTTATGAGGTTTGTGTCCAAACATAAACATAGCTGATAAAAAATATGTAAAAAATGGGAATCCGTCCTGGCAAATTGCCAAAACGTGATTTCAACAAATGGACTGAAATGGAATTTTACACTGATCAGAAATATATCCAGTACAAATACCCACAATTCCGACGAGTATTTCAAGATACTGCAAAGGAATTCTCAAGTTTTATATGTTACACAATGGGGAAGATGAACATTTTTAAATGTGTACTTATAGGTCACCACGTGTCCTCATTTTTTTCGAGGACAATCATCTTTTTTAAACTGACTGTCATATATAAAATGTGTCCTCTATCTGTCATATTTTTATATTCTTTTACCGTAGTCAAAAAGTGGTAAAGCTTTTCACACGTATAAAGCGGAAATTGAAAATTAATTCAGGATTCTTGCAGGTTCGTACATACATTTTTCTTTTAAAATATGTTCAAATTGTTGAATCCCAGTCAATTTTTATTTTTTTATGTTATATATCTTTATTTCCAAAATCTGTTCCCCTCAGTACTTAACCCTTTCAGTGTTTTTGTCGAATATATTCGACATTTAAAATTACTCTCTTCCTTTGCAATTTTTCGGTTATCCTAAGTACCGTTACAATTGATGTCTTTGTTTTTGTTGAATTCAGAAATATATCCAGTTACCCACAAAGACAGACAAAACTGTCCGAGGGTTAAATTAAGAATTACTTTTTTTCTAAACTCTGTGCCTTCATATGATTTTAAGTACAAAATTTTAGATTTTTATTCCGACAAAAATTTTTTTTTAAGTCCTGATTTATATTAGGCGAGTTTACTTGCGGCAATTTTTATCGTTCTCTTTTGAACTTGCTCCTTGCTTCTATACAAGGCAATTCGGTTTCTAAAAAATTTTTTTATTTGTTGTTTTTTTCACATTTAAATATATATTAAATGTCAACAAACACGAAATACATAAAACGAATTGCCAGAAAATTGTCGGTACGAGCAATTTTTTTTCATTTCTATACCCCTTGCCCCTCTCTCCTACAAACAAAGACTTGCCGCAAGTAAACTCGCCTAATCTAAATTTAGACTAACACTGAAAGGGTTAACATACGAACTTTTTCACCTATGTCAGGTGCATCGTTTTAGCCAGCCTAAATAAATAATTAAAAAATATGTGATTAAATCGCAAAAAAATCAACAGGTTGACAATATGTTTCTTTGTTGTTCTTCTTTAAACAACATTGCAGCGTCACTCATTACCTCATTCCGATGCATTTTGGGATTTGGTTTAGCATAGAGGTCAAATGTCTACCGGATAAACAATATCGAAATGGAATTTCAGATATTTTCACCTAGCTGCGATTGAAATTGCTGATATACTCGTTTACACGTCTATATGCACACACTTGTAATCTGATTAGGATTTAATTAAGTACAAATAAACAGGCGTAGGTTAATACAATGGATACCTTCGAAAATATGGTTGCATTTTCGGGAATTTTCACATCCAAGGGAAATCATTCACCAACTAAAAAGCCAAAAACAATTTACAGACACATATGTTTCAAACCTTCAAAACAATCATCAAATTCCTGACTACGTCACTGACCTACTACAAGCCAAACAAAATGAAATGGCTTTAAAATATATTTCGATACACAAGACATATCCACAAAGACTGTATTCTCGGGCATATTTGGATATAAACGCTTAATCCCTTGAATCCAATGTCAAATACTGCACGGTTAAACACAAATCCCCACATCGCTGCTAATAACTAGAAAATCCGAAACGGGACGCACGTGTAAATGAAATCTCAGCAAAATGCTGCTATAAAAGCAGTGCTCGTTAGATTTTAGGTTTTTGTCGGTAATGACCAATTAAAGTTTGTAAAAGTTTCCCAAAAAATTAGCGCTAAGTTTTTTTGTTAAAAAGCAAGCGTTTTGTGGCAGCGGTCAAACCATGAAATATTATAACATCAGTTCCAATGCTGCCATCAAATTGGACAATAATTCGGCAGTGTTATTCCCCCAGGCTAGGTAAGTTTTTTTTCTTTAATTATGAGCAACAGTTCCAATATTGTGAATTATTATCCCGTTTACCTTTACCGTTAATACGATTTGAGTTATCAAAAAATAAAAATTGTGATAGTTCCCCGCTAAAGCATCATTGGCCCCCAATCAAAGAAGCAAATCGGTACAGTTTTAGCAATGCCCCTCCAATGGTTCACCCCTTTCTGGTATCACTCCCACAAAATGTCGACATTTTGAAAGTTAGATAATGTCCGAAAATAGGATCCATCCTCCCACAAAGTATCAACATTTTCAAATATTTCATTCAAGCACATCACAATATTTTTTTAATATTTGTACCGCCCACACAAAGACTGAAAATTTTCAAATTGTATTTTTTATCTCAGATTATCTGCAGAAAGACGACTACTGGGCTGGGATGTGCCGCCACACGAAATACGCCATATTCCCGAACATTGGCTGCAATTTCAGGAACCACCCGAATCCATGCATTATCTATTAGCGATGCTGTATATATTCTTCACGATAATGTCGCTGATCGGAAATGGCCTTGTCATTTGGGTATTTTCCGCGTAAGATATAAACATTGACAATATCTGAGCATATATCTTCTTATAAACGTGATATTGTTGCAGGGCGAAATCTTTGCGAACTCCCTCAAATATTTTGGTTATAAATTTGGCGATTTGTGATTTTTTTATGATGTCGAAGACTCCGATATTTATCTATAATAGCTTTAAGCGTGGCTTTGCTCTGGGAAATTTAGGTTGTCAAATATATGGCATTATTGGATCCTATACTGGTATAGGTGCATCGTGTACAAACGCCTTTATTGCCTACGATCGTTATAATGTTATTACACGGCCGATGGAGGGCAAAATGACACACGGCAAGGCGATATTGATGATAATATTCATTTATTTGTATGCCACACCATTTGTGGTGGCTTGTGTAACGGAAAGTTGGGGTCGTTTTGTTCCGGGTAAGTAATTTCTTGAAATTAAATACATAGTAGTGTAAACTTAAGAAATATTAGGGTAAAAAAAATTCTCAATTTATGGCAAAATCTCTGAAATGTGACGTTTAACAACACAAATGTCTTCCCAGCTTTAACATATTCGGTTCCATATCATTGAGTTTAAATAATATCGGCATGTATGTACTCTGTGGCATGAGAGAAGTTATTAGTGTGTATGCCCATTTGGACATTAAATCGGCAGAAAACAAATCATGTCCCATAAATCAGATGCTTCCGGTCCCTCATTTTTATCCTAGATATCCATGAAAAGATAACAATAAGATGCTCCCCATAGCTTTCCAGATATTGCCGACACATTCGAAACTCTTCGAACAATTCTGACATCGTTTTACTTTGTCAATGTTCAGCTTCAATTGGTAAATTATTGTATATCTGCCCAAAAAGTATCCCATATCATGGTTTATACAAAACCTGTAGTATGTGGCTATGAGTTCATTCTCGGTATCATTATAGTACGAAATTTTGTGCTTTTATGGATGTAACCCTTTAATATTTCCAAAATTAAATCGATATTTTTTTCACTTTGATATGAATTCAAAAGAAGCGTACAACAGTTCCCAAATATAAGGGTACCCCAAGTTTTCGGTACATTGGGAATTATTGGCACGTGTTTCAACCGAATTGGTTCTTTAGGTTTGCATACATCTTCCTGCTAAAAATTATCAATATTGGTCTCTTTTTTTAGGATAGCCCCCATACAACGGTACCTCCCAAATTTCGTTATTTTGGAAAATACGTAAACGTTTTTCATCCGAATTGCAATTCTCATTGGGTGTCAAATCTACTTACTTAGTTGGCTTGTGAGATAAAATTTGTTCCATAAGCCGAACTTAAATAAGATTTCCAAGCGCTTTGATCTTTCGCGCAGCACAGGATGCTGAGGTTCCAATCATTGAGCATGCATTCTTCTAGCCAAATTGTACTAATCAACTGGTGCACGCTCCTTAACAGCATCTGATCACTAGTCTTGAATAGTTCGGCTGGTAACGCTTCGGCTTCTTCTGCTTTATTATTCTTCAGCCGATTGGTTGCTATTCTGACCTCATCTTGGCTAGGTGACTATCAATACCGTCATCTCTAATTGGTTCTGGGGTATCTTTTCACCACCACTATTTGATACCAGAAGCTTTTCAAAATACTCCTTCCTGGTCCTCAATACGCTGTCTGTATCTGTCACCAGGTTTCCTTCTTCATCTCTACATGAGGATGTGCCTGCACCAAAGCCTTTGGTTTGGTGTTTTACTCACTACCAAAAAAAACGCAATATTGGTCCCCATTTTAGGGTAGCCCCCATTAAAATGTACCTACAACTTTCGGTATTCCTTTTTTAACCGAATTCACTGTAATTGGGTGTTGTATTTGCATTTCTACAAAAATGTTACAATGGCATAAGTAGCCATACATAAAAATCCCGAACGATTACATGTAAATAAAATTTCCACCTCATAAGTTCAGCCCGGCCAAACTTAACGACGTTTTTAAATGTGTTTGTTTTCCTTCTTCTTCAGAAAACCTGTAAAATCTAATACTAGTTTTAAATCTATTCAGGAACATTCGAAATGCAGTCAAACAACTGGAAAAAGTTCTTGTTTAAATTGCACTCCCATCTAATTCCCATATATTTCTTACCTTTCTAAATAACACAAAAAATAGCCACCAATGAATTGTTGTTGTTTTTTTTTAATTTTTTATTACATTTCTGTTCTGTAATTATCATTGTATTACTTTTAGAGATCCACTAACCTATGTAAAATATTTGTATATATATTATGTATGTATGTGTGTGTATTTTCATCTTGTAAGTTTTGTTTTCGTTTCGTGTATTTCTCAGCATATACACAGATTTAAAAAAACAATCGTTCTTATAATTAATAATGTAAATCTGTCGTTTTTTGCTCTTAAAAAAAAAAAAATTTCCAATTTATAAAATTAAATGGGGATTAATTTCTTTCGTTAAAAAAATGTGTACCTCAAACTTGTTGTATAGCGAAAAGTGTGAGCATTTGTTTGTTGCTTACTGTTTGTTATATGTTTGCTGTTGCTTTTCTTTCTGTTCTTCAAACACAAATGTATTTCTTCTTCTCATTTATATTTTCATCGTTAGCATTGAAAAAAAGAATATTGATTGTTTTTTATATTTATTTGTTGTTATTTTTTTTTTTATTTTGTAATGTATTTAGCACATAAACATATTCGAGTAAACGACAATAAACAAAACTTATATTAGAAATTTGTGTTAAAACAAAAAACCTTGGTATTTACAAATGGATTTACCAAATGAAAAGTAGAAATGATGTGAAAATAAATCAAAAGCAGTAGTGGCGGGGGCAAGAAAAGGATCTAGTGTTCGAATTAATTATAGAATCACATTTTTAATATTTTAGAATATCTAGTGTTGAATTCTATAATGCCATCCACATTCACCATTTATACCAAGAGCTTGTTACAACTAATAAATGAAAGCATTTCCGCATAAAATTAACTAAAATATAGAAACTTAAATATTAAATATTCCTGTAAATTTCAATTAGTTTACAAAAGAATTAAGTCTTTAGGAATTTTATTTTTGTAGTTGGTGGATGTATTTAAACAGAAAGAAGTAGCCATAACATTTGGATCCAACGAAAAATGTGTGCCAAATATGTGATACGTTTTTCTTTTTCATTTAAGGAACATAACATCTCCGTTCGTTCTAGTATTATACGAATAATTAAGATAATTCTCTAGATATAAGAATTAAAAAAATAATAATAAACAAAAACTTATCGCTAAAAATAATTAAAAAATACACCACAAAATTTCTTGCTAGACGAATAAGAAGTTTAAACGTTTCCAATTCCGAAGGAGAGCGGCTTTTCTTTTGGGCCAATGTTGACAATTTAGCTGAGAATTAAATGAAATGTAGTTTGTCTTTTTTATTTTTGTATTAAACTGGATTCTGGCAGAATTCCAATTTTGGTTTAATGGGGTTCGACGCTTATGTATGTAAGCAATCCGTTTCTTTGGATTCGAGGAAGGAAATGTCAGCAACACGTTAATCCAAAATAAAATAATTTTTGTGTATATATTTGTATAGAACTAAAGCCAACACAGGAGGTGTTTTAGAAACGTTCCTGCTTTTATGAATTCTTGCTTTACCCATGTGACCACCAACTAACTGTCTGTTATTGTAGTTTTGCCTTTTATTTTTGTGGGTATCTGGTCTGGTAGTCTAGATTTCTTTTCCAATCTTCTCTCACTCTGTGATCATCGCTGTTAGAATGTTAGTGATATTTATTATACAATTGAAATGGTAACATTTATACCCAAATTTCCATTGTCGGCAAACAATTGGGCAATTGATGTATCAAACACCAAACAATCGGAATTATGTATGGCTGAGGCTACACCCTCGTGTATAGATCGGGGCATAGCCTCCCAAGTGAGGCGACGACGGTTCCCATTCAGCTCCAGACGATACACGAAGTTCTCGGCTTCTTTACGTGAACCGATTAGCTGGACAATGGCAAAGAACTGTTGATGGCCATCGTATTTCTCTTGCTTCTCCAGGACCAACATAAAGTGATGACCAAAACACGACTGCATCATCACCCAATCAACAGCACCGGGTAAATTTATGTCTGTGGCCAGAAATACAATGTCCTCGCCTTGTAGTGTGGTAATACTTTTGTGTGACATCATTAAATGTTGCATGACTAGATCCAGAGGTCCTTGCCATTTGCAGGAAGCACCTGGACATGGACACAGATAGGGTCGACATTCGCAGGTCTCTTCGTGTTCCGTTTTTTCCGTATAGAGCAATGATGCTGTACAGCCGTAGCCTGAATGTTTGCATGGGAATTTGACGTTGGAGGCAACTTTCTCCATGGCCAAGTTACGAATGTTGGCCAAGGGGCCACGACATGTTGGACAGCAGGTGAGCTTCGAACGGCACGAGACACATACCAAATGCCCACTCGAACACTGCAGTATTGGTGGCAACACATAATCGAAGCACACCGGACATTCAAACAACGATGTTAGATCGGTAGACATACCGACATCACCGCCTCCGGCGGATGACAGCGATGAACTCGAGGACGATGATGTGTTGGCCGATGTATTGCTGGTGTTGGTATTGCCTGTTGCACTAACAGTTGGTATTTCACGCTTTATTTTATTTATTTTATTAGACATTGGACTTTGGTACTGGTGTGTGCTTTGCTGGTGGGGATCTTGAGGATGTTAGTTAATAAAAAAAATCCTAGCGATAATGTCAACCTATTGTTGACAAATATCTGATCTTATCGTCGATTAGAACAAAATATTCTTAGAGTCTGTTGTTGGCAGTATTCAAAAATGTATTCCTTGTTTAGAAAATATGCTCGGGCGACAACACAACGAGGATCGATGTTTCAGGTGGCAATCGGTGTGGCGTCACATAGAAATCATTGAATAATTATCTGAAAAATACAAAAGACAATTGTGACAACAATATTAATATACATACATACATATCTAAATATTTTGAAAATATATTTTATTTTATGTAAATAAAAATTGTATGAAAATGAATAGCGGAATTTTTCCATGGAACCGCTTCCATGGAAAATTTTTCCATGGAATCTTTCCAATAGAAACAATACAATTTTATAATGTACACTATGTGTAAAAAAACGCAAAAAAAAAGTGATTTGAAAGTGTCATTTAGGGGAAATATACCAGAAGAAAAATAATTTACAAACATTTTTTGTAATTGTTTTTTGTGACAAATGAAAAGCTCCTTTTTTATGGCGGGCATGATAAATCCTCACTATAACATCACAATCCGAAAATTTCAACGGTTTTAGAAATGGTGGACGTTTGAAAAGTTTTTTTTTTTAAATCAGCAATTTTCAATTTCAATTTCAATTTATTTCATAAACGAGAATCTAGCCCAAAGGGCCAATAGTGATTCAAAAAACAACAAAATATAGACTACTCCAAAAGCTTAAAACTAACAATGTATTACTTTAATAATATCTTAACGTCTATTTAGTTGGAGGGGTTCAGAACCATTGTACTTCAAAAACATTTTTATTGTTATAATTAGATTATTTGATGTAGCGACCTAGCACATAGGGCCAAGGACTACAATATTATATCTACTCTCAACCACTAATTACAATTTACAGGTTTAAATATCTCATTTTTATATCACAATCATCAATATAAAAGAAATATTATTTATTATAGCTATAATTATTATAAATTTTTGAGCACAAACTAACTTAAAAAATAATATGGTATTCACCGATTGGATTTATCCTATTTCATACGATAGCAATACACTCACAAAGAAACGAGTCAAAATTTGAAACCGATCGGATTATTAGTTTTTGAGTTATCGTGCTCGCCATTCGTAAACAGACTGTTTCGAGAAAAACGCGTTTAAAGTTTGAGATGGCTGTATCTTTAAAAGTTGTTGGGATTTTCACTTGAAATATTATAGGAACATTCTTGAATTAGGAAGGTTCGAATCAAATCAAAAAATAAATTTAAATTTTTTGAAACTGAGAATGGTTGGGGTCCCCTTAAAGTACAGAATTATTTTTAATTTGCCAAGCCCTTAGACATTTACTGAATATCAAATTAAAAACAAATTAAAATTTGTTTATAACAAAAATATTAAAGGAAACAATAATTTTTTTAATCATCACTATTTCATTATCGCATTAAAACACGTTAGAAATTTCACTGTTATGTTTAATCAAATAACTAACTAAAATCATTAATGTTCTCGCGCCTTCATTAAAATGACATGACTAAGTATTATTGATTATACTTAAATGTTGAAGAGTATATATATATAAATATATACATTTGTACAAACTAACATGGGAGTTACATGTCAGATTGTATAAATTAGATTTTAATAATACACATTATTACACGATGAACATTAGTTGGTTGTAATGTCATTGAATGTGGAGGAATAACCGGATTGGACGACAACAAAATAATGGGCAAATTTTTAAGGACTGTTTTTTTTTTGGTATTAGTAAAAACACACAACAAATTATTATAAAACTTTTGTAACTTTGCATGTGGCGTAAAGAAAAAGGAAATTTTGAAAAATCATAGGCCAATTATAAAGCTTGATAAAAGTCAGTCGGTGTTGACGACAGATATATACCCTCGGGGAAGGTCTTCTTATTCGCTTTATATATCGTATATATTTCCATCAAAGAAGTTTTATCGTGCGCATCAGCAGCCCAGACAGACAAACGGAGGACATAGATTTGTAAATCGACTCGTGGCTCGAACGTGGGATCTACCCTCATTAGCTATAAAGCCGAGGGTATAAAATTGGTTATCTACTTAATTTTTTTGTATGCTTTTATGTGCTTATATTTAATTTTGTAACTCATAAATTAAGAGCTACCGCTGGGAAATTTAAAAAGTTGCACAAAAAAAGTAAATTTGTCAATAAATATGTTCGAGAATATATCAGACACCCTATGAACACAAAAACGACTTAAACGAATTCAAATTAGTTTTAATTTACACATACTAAGGTAAATATAACCTTACAAACACAGAGAAGAAAAGTCGCTCAAAGCTAAAAAAGGTTGCAACTTTAGTGGCATTTTATTTAAAAGCGTAATAACCAATTATTGATCACCATAAAAATTAATGTTTCATAAATTGTTCACAAGAAATCTTCCAAACTTGGAAAAAGAATATTTTAGTGGTTGTACCTTAAGTTTCTTTCGGATTTTTTTTTTAATATTGCATATATTTCTGACAAATACCCGTCAACGAAATATACTCAAGATTTATATGTGTACCTCTTAAAAAATATAATTTCGATAAAATGCATTTGAAGTTTGTATCTAAGCAAAAACCACAAAACGGGTTTTACATTGAAAATCGGGATTTACAAAGTAAAAAAATGATATACGTCATGGCTTCTATATTTAAAGACTAGAGTAAGTACCGGCATGTACCAATATATGTATATAATATGCTGTATATAACTTCAAATTTCTAAAACATCCCGTTACAAAATATGAAATACCTTGAATAGTCTTCAATAATATTGCAACATTTCTCTGTGTAAAATTTCATCGGGGCTAAGTAGTTTTATTAAAAAAAATATTTGTAATAATGATATTTTATCGATGTCGTCCTTAGGAACAAACATTTTTAAGGTTTTCCTATAGTCAGCATATAGGTGAATAATAATAATCACATTTTCGATCATTTTGACTCAAAATTGAAAAAATGTGAAATAAGTGCTCTAAATACCGATTAATTTATATAAAAAAAACTGTTTTTAGTAGTTTTTTTTTTAAGAAGAAATGGTTTTAATCTTAAATTCTTTTAACCTCTGAAATGTCTAATTTACCCATGCCGAGAATTGGATAACAGGTCTCCAAAGTCGAAAGTCATTACAATTGTAATCTTAACAAATAAAATTATTTTATATAACATTTTCAATACAATGCAGATTGAAACGTCCGATAATAATGATTTATTAATACAAAATCTATTAAATACATAATTTTTGTTTAACTAAAATGCGACGTGACATGCCGACAATTGGAAAAAAAGTGCCGACTATTGCCAAAAAGGCACTGTACTACCTAATTATCAATTTACTCAAATTTAATACAAATTAATTTAACAAATTTTTATTGCATCGGATAGTAAACAAAATTTCGGAACAGATGAACCTAAATACAATATAGTGGAAAAATGCACTCGGGATGGTGAAACGTTTAAAATGCGAAATTCCTTAAAGTGCCGACTATTGGTACACTAACCCTATAAAGTCTATAAAAAAAACTAATAATCTGGGATTCCTATAAATATTTTCCATTATACATAGAACAGGAAAAACTTTTTTGAACACTTCTCATCCTTAAAATTGTAATAATGCGTACAAGATACAAAAATACTACGTGCGTGTAATTCGTTGCCTATTTAGTTGCCATTGTGAACACAAAAACAACAATCAAAAATCAGGTGGTTGTTTAATGCAATTTTTTGCTGCTTATTTCTGTTCAGTTCTGTTAATGTTTAGAGTCTTGAAATTTCGTTTCAGGTTATGCGAATGACTGACTGACTGGTTGTGGCTACAACACAAATGCTATGCTGGTGTATTTCAGTGCCTGGTAGATTGTAAAGAAAATTCAAAAGGAAAACATACAAACAAACACGTTGCATATGTTTGACCTTTTGTATGATGAGTTTTATTTTCTTTTTCGATTTTCCACATATTGACTGACCAACAACCCCCCTCTTGGAAATGTTGTTTCTATTACATGTGTTATTTATCATCGTTTTAGTATAAACCCAAACAATTGATAATTTTTTTATCCAAATACTACATCGTGACATTGTGTCGTCCAATGTCCATTTTGGAATTACAAATACCCAGTGTACACACAAGCACACTGTCTCTTTTTTTATTTTATTTATTTTTTTGTTTACCTTTAAATTGTATGGCGATATCTATGGCTTGCTGGTGATTGATTTAATTTTCGGATTCCTTTCCACAGAAGACAACATTGAACATGTAGAAAAAATAATTTTGTGTTTGGGACAATGTTTCTTTTTTCTATTTACGTTCTCATTGAACGCTGTGACACTGCTGTTCCTTCGATTGCTCTTTGTGGCATCATATGTTGTTACGACTTGGACTTTTTTATCTACGATGTTGAGCTGCTGCTGTTGTTGTTGTTATTCGTTCTCCACTACTTCCAAATGGTGGATGTTATTCTTATTGTTAATATTCTTCAATTTTTTTTTGTAATGTCACATACGCAATAGAAGTAGACAAGCAAAAGGATATTTTCTTCAAAAAATAATCCTTGATTCTATGAATTTTGTAATGTTTATTGAATTATTCAATAAATATGCAATAAATTGCTTTTATTATTTTCCCTGCTTTTAAAACGGCTTTATTCTGGCTTTGTCTATTTCGACGTCTCGTCGCAATTTTTATGATGTCTCTCTTTCCTGCCTTTACAGAGGATGACACTTTTCGATATACTCTTTACGAAAAATAAAGTACATGAATCAATGAAATGAATTTGATCGCGAAAGTTGAAATTCGACAAACTTGTAAACTAAAACTATCTGAATTGCGTTATTTTATTTTTCACTTCACAACTTCAACAAAAATTAACTTCATCGACTTTGTCTATAAAATTTCTCGTTTTACTTGCTTGCAATTGACTTTCGACTTATCGTTTAGGGTATGAAAAAATCGAACAATCGATATTGTAGTAAAAGCAATTTATCGATTTCTGACATCTTAATTAAAAGCGTTCCCAAGATCTATTAATAAGGTCACCAAGATAGCAATCGAAATCGGAAAACAGTTGTTTTTTCTCAAGTCTAATGTCAAAAATTTCAACTTTGTTTACGTTTTCATAATGGAAGTCAATTCACAATAATGCATTTTGACAGCAAACTTGAGAGGTATCGATAATCAGCTGGTCTCCCTTGGTGACCTTATTTATAGGCCATGAGCGTTCCAATATAAAATAATGCCTTGTTCATGATCTATTAATAAGGTTACCAAGATAGCAATCGAAATCGGAAAACAGCTGTTTTTTCTCAAGTCTAATGTTAAAAATTTCGACTTTGTTTACGTTTTCATAATGGAAGTCAATTCACAATAATGTATTTCGACAGCAAACTCGAGAGGTATCGATTATCAGCTGGTCTCCCTGAGTGACCTTATTTATAGGCCATGGTCTTGTTTTAATGACTTTGTAGTTCTCTCTCACAAACACTGGCGCGTTTAACCGGCATGTACATTATAACCTTTTTTATGAGGACTTATTTGACGAACATATAAGGGAATTGACAATTAAACCCCACTGTGTGAAAGTAAACCGATACAATGTAAATGTAGACTACAGTTTTTTATCGTGATAAAGTGTATTATATTGATTTATTGATATTTTATATGCTGAAATCCAATTTTAATATTATAACCAAATATTATAATATAATCAAATATTTTTATATATTTCTGACACAATGGAGAGCAATTACTGACAAAATAACGAATATATTGATTGAAAAATTGCCACAGGATTTGATATCTCAATTTACATATTGAGTCGATTTAGAAGGCTACACTCTAGCCTTTATCGTAGTAATGTGCATTATCTCGATTTAATTGCTAAATTCAGCTCGAAATACCTCGATTTACCATACAAAATTAAATCCACTCAATATCTCGATTAATATGCTAAATCGAAAAAATTTCAAATACAACCCTGCTTTTCTCCAAAAAAAAATCGTTTCTATGCTTTAAAATTAGTTAATATTCAAAATAACTGCCTGACAAAAATATATCAACGGCTGAAAATTTATTTCTTGTTTGCATTCATAATAAATATTACAATAACTTAGAAGGACAAAGGTTTTTTGCATTTCTGACCTAATAGAGAGCAATTTCTAACAAAATTATGAAAATATTGATTGGAAAATTTTCACAGACATCATAGAAGCAGTGAAATGTGCATGTATACGTAAACAAATAACTGCTGACAAATCAACTTCATTTCATTTTAATACTAGTCTAAACAGTTATGATTTAATATATCGATTTAGATGGCGTTGTCTAAACGCGCCTTTATACTCCGTTAAATCGAGGTAATCTTAAATACAATTTAGCTTTTGCGCCAAAAATTAATCATATCCCCTAAAAGTATGCTTCAAAATACGTTAAAATTCAAAATAATTGCCCAACAAAAATATTTTTATATTTTTTAATTTTATAATAAATATTACTATAATTAATAACAACGTATGTTATTCCGCAACCAATATATATATTTTTTTTTTAATTTTCCAGAGGGATACCTAACTTCATGTACATTTGATTACTTAACTGATAACTTCGATACTCGACTCTTTGTTGGTACCATATTCTTCTTCAGCTTTTGTTGTCCTACAACATTGATTATATATTACTATAGTCAAATTGTCGGACATGTATTTAGCCATGAAAAGGTAAAACTATATATTTACCGTTATATTCCATAATACATTTATGTAAAAATTAATCTAAATCATTTTTTTTAACATACAGGCATTGAGGGAACAAGCAAAAAAGATGAATGTCGAGTCATTGCGATCGAACGTAGACAAAAGTAAAGATACAGCAGAAATTCGCATAGCTAAAGCAGCAATTACAATATGCTTCCTGTTCTTTGTATCGTGGACACCATATGGTGTAATGTCTCTGATTGGAGCTTTTGGCGATAAGAGTCTCTTAACACCTGGAGTAACAATGATACCGGCTTGTACATGTAAAATGGTAGCTTGTGTCGATCCATTCGTGTATGCCATAAGTCATCCGAAATACCGATTGGAATTGCAAAAGCGATGTCCATGGTTGGCGATAAATGAAAAAGCCCCCGAAAGCGCTAGCACCGCTTCGACGACAACACAAGATCAGGCACCACAACAGACTACAGCAGCCTAAAATTCTTACTGTTGCTAAAGTAATTTCGGTCAAGTATGCCGATGAAAAAAATATATATTTTTAATTTTAAGAAAAAGCTTTAAACACGATGAAGACTTGGCTATGGATAAGGCTTACGATATATACATTTACAACGAATATGGGAGACGAAAACCCTTGCTATTCTTCTGGACAATATCTCACAGATGTTAACGTAACTGGAAACCAAGCTATTACTTTTTTCATAACTTGGAACTTGTGCAAAAGTATTATATTTTATTTGTAGTATTTTTTATTTGTTAAAAAATAAAAGCAATTAGAATTTACCGCAAAAAAACGCAATGCCCTTCTTATTTTTCACAAAAAAGGCTACATTCTGTCCAAGGCCTATATAAAGTCGGACAGTAAGGACAGCTGAGTATGTATTAAGTTTGCTGTCAAATCATATTTTGAAATCTAATTTATATTTTTGTGAAGCACATTTGGACGATTTCAAGATTTTAATGCACAGAAGGTAGTCTCATTTGAGAATTTTATGATGGCAACCCCTTTTAATTTGGAACTCATCTATCAATTTTAAATAATATGAAAAATAAATTCCATACAATTTTATGTATGTCGATTGGTACACTTTTAATCATTGCAAGGCCGCAGCCGCCGAACTACTCCTGTCCCTCACGAACTCGGAAGTCGACATTGCCTTAGTTCAGGAGCCATATATTTATAATAATATGGTTTCTGGACTAAGGAATGCCAACTTTGATATTTTCGCGCCGTCCATGGGGGACAAGGTGAGAACATGTATAGTAGGTAAAAAGAGCTTAAATCTAGTCTTTCTATCTAATTACAGCAATGGTAACATGTGCACTGTAAGGCTAGAGAATACGACGGGGAAGGCCACCCTGCTCTCCTCAATCTATATGCCCTTTGAGGAGATGGATCCACCAGGCACCTGTGTACGAAAAATGCTCGATGAAATGACGAGTACCTGCAATGTTATCTTGGGATGCGACGCAAGTGCTCACAATTTTCAATGGGGTAGCAAGGATACTATCCTATAATTTACGCATATGTAATAGGGGTAGTGATCCGACTTTTAAGGTTAGGGATAGAGAGGAGGTCATTGACTTAACCCTCTCAAATCTACATGACTCCGTCATCAGAAATTGGAGGGTATTTGATGAATGTTCCTTCTCGGATCATTTAAAGATTCTCTTCGAGTACTCTTTTGACGGAGATAGACAACAGCCTTATCGGAATCCAAGGGGAACAAACTGGGAGAAATTCACGAAACTAACGAACTCCTAGCTGACTCTTAACACAAACACTCAACGGGGCCATGAAAAATCTAACGGATGTTCTCCTTGGTTGCCATAAGGAATCCTGTCCGCTCACATACCCGGGAAGAAATCTCGGCCAGTGTGGTGGAACAAGGAACTTGGTGATCTAAGGAAAGCGACCAGACGACTGTATAACAGGGCGCATAAGTCTAAACTCGACACTGATTGGAACTCCTATAGAGCTAGTAAATTTCTGTGAGTCGATAGAAGGAGTCAACGACGCTGAGGTTTCGAAAACTACTATCCAAGGACCCGAAGTCCATCGGTAGTATTAAGAAGCAGGATGAAGCGAGAGACTCATTTTCCAGGTTGCAAAGACATGGGTACCATCGACGGTGAACGTGATGACACTCAGCCTTTTGCCACCCGGATCTGGATCTCATTAGCAAGGTGAGTAACATAAATAAGATGCGATGGGCGGTCAACACATTCAAGCCGTATAAATCGCCAGGACCAGATGGTATTCTACCGGCGATGCTTCAATATGCCTCGCCAAGTATATATCTGATCCTTGAGAAGATCTATACTGCGTATTTGACTCTCTCGTATGTTCCGGATCTATGGAACGAGGTTAAGGTTACTTACATTCCCAAAGCAGGGAAACCAAGCCACTCTGCACCAAAAGACTATAGACCCATTAGCCTATCATCCTTTCTCCTCAAGACTCTCGAAAGACTGATCGACCTGGAGATTAGGAGTCGTATAGACACCACCTCTCTTAGCAAATCACAACACGCATACATAAAGGGCAAGTCTGTGGAATCTGCACTGCACGAAGTGGTAGGCTACATTGAGAGGAAAATGGAAAATTCAAATTTTACGCTGGCCGCCTTCTTAGATATAGAGGGAGCCTTTAATAACGTTAAACTTGAATCCATAAACCACTCACTTAAAGAAGTTGGGATTCCTGATACCCTGACATGGATAAAATGCTTAACAGCAGAATTATTAATTCAAGTGTGGGGGATACAAAAATCGGTAACTAGAGGCACACCTCAAGGAGGGTTGCTTTCGCCGTTACTATGGCTACTGGTAATTAATATTATATTGACGGAATTGGACGGGAAAGGTATCAAAGTTGTAGCTTACGCGGACGACGTGGTGATATTGATTTCCGAAAATTTTCCGTCTACAATCTCGGAACTTATGCAAAGAGCCTTACTGACGCTGTCACGCTGGGCCAGGGCAAATGGTCTTAGTGTAAATCCAACGAAGGCGGAACTGGTAATGTTCACTAGGAAGCGTAAGCTCGGCGTTTTTGCTCCACCAACATTGGATGGAGTGCAACTTCACCTATCTCCCGAAGCAAAGTACCTCGGCACAATCCTGGACTGGCAACTACGATGGAAAAGGAACGTTGAAGAGAGGGCGAAGAGAGGAATGATTGCACTCTATGCATGCAAGAACTCCATTGTGAAAAGCTGGGGGCTAAAACCATCGACTATACACTGGTTGTATAACACCGTGGTGAAGCCCATCTTGTCCTATGGTTCTCTTGTTTGGTGGAACTGTCTGAGCCCCAAGTCGACATATAGTAAATTAGACAAGGTACAAAGAGCCGCCGCGATTTTAGTTACAGGAGCCAGAAGGAGTACGCCACAAGCAGCTTTGAACGCAATGCTGTATTTCAAGCCTCAGGGCCTCGGCATTAAGTGTCAGGCTGCACGTAGCGCCCTAAGGCTGCATGAACAAAAACTCTGGCGGAACTGTACCTTTGACTGGCTGTATAACACTGTGGTGAAGCCCATCTTGTCCTATGGTTCTCTTGTTTGGTAGAACTGTCTGAGCCTCAAGTCGACATCCAGTAAATTAGACAAGGTACAAAGAGCCGCCACGATTTTAGTTACAGGAGCCAGAAAGAGTACGCCACAAGCAGCTTTGAACACAATGCTGTATTTCAAGCCTCTGGGCCTCAGCATTAAGTGTCAGGCTGCGCGTAGCGCCCTAAGGCTGCATGAACAAAAACTCTGGCGGAACTGTACCTTTGGGCATAGTAGTGTTCTGAATGAACCAGGTATAGCATTGGACCAACGCGTTAAACTAAGCGACTAAATATCACCAATCCTTAGATTTGACGATGTAGATGTCGTTATTCCTGGTAGAGATGACTGGAAACGAAGTAACCCTCCTCTGGACGGTCTGGCCTTCTATACAGACGGATCCAAGATGGAAGAAGGTACTGGGGCAGGCGTCTACTGTGAAAGGTTAGGCCTTGAGTTAACCTACAAGCTGGATAGCAATTTGGAAGGCAGCAGAATTGATAAAAAGTCTGGATGCTGAGCCGGTGACTGTCTTTGTGGATATTCAAGCGGCTCTTAAAGCCATCAAATCTTGTTACATCAAATCCGAAGCCGTCCTCAAGTGTAGAGCAGCTCTGGAAGAACTTCACCATAGCTATCGGTTGTGTTGGGTACCAGGACATTGTGACATCTTGGGTAATTAAAGAGCGGACGAACTAGCTAGACGAGGATGTCAATCCACCGATCTAGAAACTGATGATTCAATCAAACCACCCATATGTCTTTCTTGTGGATGATCACAACGGACCTAACCGGACTCAGAGTGTTGCAGTAACCTATTCTGAAATTGAGAACTACATTCATTTTCATTTGGCAACTAAACAAGAATTCATAAATACGTATTCCAAAAAAATTAACATTATTTATTATTTTTTGTACACTTGTTACTTCTTTAAAAGAAATACAAAAAAATAGAGACAATTTCTTAAAAACAAATAGAGTGAAAGTACAAAGGATAATTTTGTACAAATACAAATGATATACAAAAACATATATCTTTCAATTGAACGCTACATACATACAATGTATGTATAAAATGTGTTATATGAATTTGATTTAGCATTGCATAAAAAGCCACCTATGCTATTTTCCTGTCAGAGCTGTATGTAATTTAATTACAGCGAGGTAGTCATTATACGAGAGTTGTCCATTTTTCGATTTGTTCTGAACCCGCTTAAGCTTTTCTTCAAGTTCCGGCCTCGACGAAACAATCGGTATACATTCATCCAAGTATCGCATCGATTCCCGCGACCAGAACGTTGACGGCAACTTGGAGTCCCGAATGTTGCTGCCGCTGCCGGCACGAGTTGCTGGCTTCGAAATTTCCTTAAGTAAGGTGTCGCACGTGTTCTTCCATTTTTCCGAAACTTGTTGCATGATGGCAGCATTAACTGTAGCATTCGAACGTGTTTCGGGGTTGACGAACGGAGGTGGAGGCATAATTTTTGTTTGCTGTCTTCTTGTTGGGTTGAGGGACGATGACGAATTAACAACAGTCGATTTTGTTTTTGTTGGGGTCGGTACACGAAGATTATCTGAGCGCTGAGGTTGAGTTGTCGTCGGTGCTTTTATTGGTGTTGTTGCTGGTGTATCTGTGATTTGCTGTTTACGTTTATTGGATTTTGGGGGTTTTTGCGGATTGTCTTCAATATGCTTTTCATCGCCTTCGTTGATTTCACGGATCTGTGGTTTGGATTGCTCCAATTTCTCCTTCTGTTCCAATGTAAGACTTGTGTCCAGTAGTTTGTTGCCCAACAACAATGGATCTATACTTAGTTTAAGCATTCGATTTTTAAGTACCAGATTATTGTAGATCTTCAACAACTCTTCGTAATTATCGTGTCTGTATGAAGAAAATATAAACTTCCAATGTGAAGATATTTCTGAACGTAATTGAGGCGGGGTAGCATCGTCAGATTTGTAGTCATTAATTAGAGTTTTTAAACTCAACAAGAGCTTGTCCAGATGAATGTTTCCGTCCTGCAAACCAGCCTGTCCCACCAATATCATATTTAGCGAACGTCGAATTTTATCAGCCTGTTTAAATCCTGCTTTCGATTGCTGGCGTTCCACATACTGCAGCCGTTTATACAAATGATTTGCATTGCCCAAATTCGTGTTCAGCTGGTTGATGTCGTCACGCAAGAAACGTATAAGTACATCGATACGTTTGGGTATGTTGGGCGTCGACTGTATATTCTTTTGTGTCATTTGATCTGCAATTTCGCGGTATTTCAAAAGAAGCTCACGTTGAAATTTGTCCTGATTGCTTGGCAAACCAAAAATTACCAGGACGTGACCGACTGACGTAAAATCCAGACGGGCTTTCAAGTCGCATTCCTTTGAAGATTTTGCCAAAAAGGTACGGCCTTCGAGGGACAACAAATATTTCGTATGAAACTGGTTCAGGTAAATTTTAGCCTCACATGGCAAGCCATCTGTTTGGTCAGCATCTTTTTTGACTCCGATTCCATCATTACTTTCATCATCATCAGACTCGGCAGGAACAAATCTATTCGAAATTCCCGCTGGACGTCTTTTTTCTGGCTGGTCAATCTGATTACCAACATGTGATTCCATCTTATCGTCATGGCAATCTTCGGTGGAATCTACCAATGGAATAAAGTCGGGCAGTTCTTCCATTTCACGAGATTTGGGTTTTTCTTTAAAGATTGATGATGTCCAAATTTTATTGGATGGTGCATTGGCGTTCTCATCTTGCAAGACTCCGTCAAGTTTAACCGAAGACTGATCTTTTTCCACACTTGACGATGTAGATGGAACATCAAAGTGCTCAGAAAAACTATAATTTGAGTCTGAATCAAGATTTTGTGGTTGAAGGTTTGACGATGTGACATTATTCGGCGATTTGAAACTGGAAAAACTACTACGGGTAGATACAGTAATATTCAATTGAATATCATCCTCATTACCGTTACTGTTTTGAACTGTACTTTCAGCTTCGCCAACATCTTCATTACTAACTTCAGTAGTGGATGGGATATCTATTGGATGTTCATCTTCAACATTGCCACTCTCAGTTATTTCCTGAACCTACAAAAACAAACAATAGCAGTTCGATTTCATGTTATGATATGTATAACAATTAAGTACCTGATTTGGAGCTTTGGAGCTTTCACCTTTCAAATTCTCCCCTTTCTTTGAGGACTTTTTCAACTTTTTCGCAGAAGATTCCCCCATTGCTTCAGAGCGTCGTTTGCGCGGTATTAAGTACGACATTCCAACTGCATTTAGAAAGCGTCCGTAATATTTATCGGCATTTGTTCTTTCCGCCAAACCAAATGAATATTCCTGTGTCGGTTCGTACATCAAATTGAAAGGAATGCCACCGCTATGTAAAGTCTTAAATGCCAAATCATTATACGATTTTTGATGTGACTTGACGACAGTGGCTATTGGAGGATATTCCATAAAATTCATGGCATTTCGACAGGCATCCGCTAAATGACCGCGCTGTCCACACATGCTACAATATTTTCTTGTGTTATATACAATATTGTTTTTGGGAAATGCATTTGGTTCAGTCTGTAAAAAGAAATAGATTTAAGAGGCATTCCCTAATTTGGCAATTTGGTTAACAAACCGTTGAATAATATCTACGCCATTTGTCGGGACAATAATCAATGGAGTGTCCCCTGATCTTACAAATCGGACACATCAGGCGATTTTGGAATGAACAAGCATTGCAGCCTTTTATGTAAACGTGTGTTTTATTGCCGCACTGAAAACAAGGAGAAATCAATGAAATAGATACATTGCTACAGAACATATTTGTTTTATTCAATGTAATACATACCCGTAGACAAATGGTGTTGGGACAACGGGGTTCCTGATGGCCACTCTCTCCACACATATAGCAAATTAGCGGTTTCTTAGGACGTTTACACTGCGATCTTGCATGACCAAAATCACAACAATTTGTACATTTTAAATTGCTATACCGTTTTGTCGACCTACTGAAACGATCTTCGGCATATATTCTCCACAAATTCTTATCCGCTGAAATGATAAACATATTGCATACAAGACGCATAACAACAACAATTGAAAGTTGATACTTACGATTCATTTTATTCCAAACATGGGACAAAATAAAATGCTCCCCATTCCATGAATCCTCATAGAATTTTCTCATTTCACTATTCCAGCCAATGCCGCTGGTTATATTGTTTCCACGTAGGTATACAACATTGTATACTGGTGAGCCATTTTTTGATTTATTTGGCTTAGCGATTTCCAAACGAGACTTATCAGCTACGTAAGTAATGATTTGAACATTGTCATCGGTGGGTAAACTCTTATAAACAACGGGCAGAGTGCTATTAACGACCACGCCACTATTCGAAGTATTGCTCTCGCCTTTTGCATCTACTGGCTTAAGTTGTTCTTGCTCCTTTTCTTCCATTTTATCAATTGTTTTGAAAACATCACTTAAATCGTGACTAGCATTTTTAGGTACAGCCGGGTCGTTTTCTTTCGATGCCGGTTGATGACATTCTCCAAGTATTTTTGCAGCTATGTCACGTGCAGATGGTGCCTCTTCAGCTTCGTCACTTTCTTCAGCTTCATTCTCATTTTCATCGTCTTGACCTTGGACTAAGTTATTGAGCTTTGCAATGAAATCTCCATCTGACATATGCCCCTTCGTTGCAGCAGCCTTAAAGCTTTTCTGGGGAGCTGGCGAACAACTTGAAAGAGTCCGACTATTTTTACGAATTTTGCGTTCAACCGCAGGTCCCCGGGAAATGAACGGTATGCCCGTGCGTTCTGTACCGGAACCGAATTCCTCATCGTCATGCTCTTCGTTACTATTTTCACTACTTGACTGTGTATTTTCATAGTTAACATCGGACCCCTTATTGCTGCTTGAGGCACGACGTTTGCGAAAACGTTTCGTACGTGACGGGTGAATAGAGGATATATCTTCGACTTCGTCGGAGCTAGTATCCAACTGACGTATAACTGTCGTTTTAGTTGTCCCTTTAGAATATACACTGTCAGTAATATCCGATTCGCTTTCGTACACATCCAAAGCCCTAAACTGAGTTTGTTCTACACGATAAGTTTCTTTAGGAGCTGGTTCTGTGGGTTTGGGCGGCACAAAGGTCATTGAATCATTTGTGTCTGCATCTTTATTCGACGATCTCTTCTCTTGTGGTGCCTCTAACAAGCTATTCACGTCTGACGTCAACACCAACAGATCCTCATCATCGGCAACGCCACTAGCATCCTCTAGCAAACGACTACGGTCCACCTGACCTATAAAATCATCTGACGATTGAATTGAACACGGTGAAGCACAGCGAGATGTATTTTCAAAGCGCCTATCGACTGAGTCAGAATTCGAAGTGTTAACGATCGATGCTTGTTGTGGTGGTTTTATAAAACTTGTTGACGTTGACATCTGCACGTCCGTTGAGTCCAACGCGTTTTCTTCCGTTTGCAATAGTGTCGAACCAGAAGACGACTTCTTTTTTGTATTCTCATCATCGTCACTGTCGTCAACGGTAAACGTTGGCGGAGGAGGTATTGGAATCATTACAACGTCGCTACTGTCAGATTCATCGCTAGAAAGTAAATCAATGACATCCGTCGTAATTGGTTTCTTTCCCCTCAATTTGTCCTTTGCCTTTTTGGACTTTTGTTTTTTGTCCTCAACTCGTTTCATTTTTTGTATTTTTTGTTGTTGTTTGAAAAATGGTCCCTGTTTGGAGCTTGCAGTGTTGGCATTTTTTACTTCCTTGGTATTTGTTTTATTGGATATGTTGTTTTTGTTTCTCTTTGACCAATCTGCTGCTGGATTAATTCTTAGATTTGGATTATGTTTTACCTTTGGATGTGGGGGTCCGTGTTTACTAGCCTTATTGATAGATTGTTCATTAGACGAATATTCTTTGGCGGCCGGCGACTTTTTATTCGTTTCAACAACAGCGGATTCTAAAAAGATGATACTTATGTTAATAGAAATTGGTAAAAGATAGCTTAGAACAAAATGTTTACTATGCCTATGAGCAATGCATGATTAATGCGCCTTACGATAAATGTGTCCAAAGGATTTAAGAATAGAAAAAAACGATTCAATAATTTTATGATTATTTATACTCAGACTAAAATTCAAATCGGAAAGAATACACATGTGTATTTACAAGATTTGCATATGATGCCTTAATAACCTGCATAGGGACATTGAGCGTTCCCTAAAAGTACTTAGGCTTGACGTTGTGGATGTAACAAAAAAAAAGGGTTTTTTGTTTAGTGGAGTTGATACATGAATCCCTGGGACAATAACCCCAAGCAAAAAACTAAGAGAACTGATGAGGACTTATGGCGAAATCCGAAACTACCATAACCCACTTTAAAAATAAAAATCTTGTTGTTTTTATTTTTAAAACAAAAAGAAAAGGGAACAAGCTGGCTTACCAAAAAACTGAGATTAATGTGAACTAAAAAATCGAAATCTTTTGTTACAATAATTTAATAAGCCACTCACCAACATCATTGTTGTCACTTTTACTAGCATCAACATTGTCACATGTTTGTCTTCTAGCTGTGGCGTTGTCACTGTTCGTAGGGATGTTAATTTGGGATTTCTGATTTGGCTGTTGGATTGTACGTTGTTGCTTTACATCATTGGGTTGTTGTTGTTGCTGATTCTGTGGTCGTGAGTTATATGCGGGAATTTCACCATTTGCCCAGTAACGCTTCGAAGGTCCTCTATTTGTTTCAGAACTACCTGCTTCACATTGATTGTTGTCGTCGTCGTCTTTTTGGATAGATTTTTGAGCATCTATGGGGGTTGCCTCATGTACATGTTCATGATGTATTTGAGCATATAAACGTGCCTCCAACTCATTGAGGTCTTCCACATTGTCAATATCAACCTGTATGGACCGAATTATTGAGTGAAGTAAATTACAAAAGCTAATTCGACAATTATTTACCTCATCCATTGTCTGTCAATTCTTTATTTTCACATTTATTTGGAAATTTGTGCTGCTTTTTTTCGAAACAAAGAATAAGTCTATTTTTTATTATTATTTTTTCTCTCGGTTTATTCGTTACATCTATCTTCTTGCTGCAGATAGAAGAAGAAGAATTATTTGGCCACAAAACGCCACACAAATGCTAGTTTGTTTTACAGCTGATAGCTGATTGAAATTCAAGAAATTCACCAAGGATGGATAGCTTGTTAAGGCCGTGAATACGGACAAATTCGTCAAGTTCGTTGAATCGAACTCCAGCGGGAACCGATCTCCTTTGCTTAACAAGCCCACCGAAGTCCGCAGCCAGCGACCAGACTCTGTGTAGTGAATAATTCCGATGATTACCAGATGATATTGATTGTAAGGCTCTTAAACTATCCGAAAATATGGCCACTTGAAGATAGTTGTTATTTATAGCAAACTCAAGTAATGGCCATTAGTTCCGTGGACATTGAGGAAAGCGGTTTTTCATCATAAAACGCAAATACAGATCCAGATCCTTTGTGAATGAATCCAGCGCCAGTCCAAGTATCCATTACATTGGTAACAATTGTTACCAAATATCGAGTAAACAGACAGAGCTAATAATAGAAGGTAACAGCAAGTGTGTTCTTGTACAACAAACGATACAACTACCGTGGGTTATCAGTATCAGTCCACGTTTTAGGGTTTTCAGATTTTAGAAAAAACACCATTAAAAAGTGCTGAAATTTGTATTTTTTATACATAAATCGGTTTGTAGAATTATAAATTGATATCTATGGTGTTTTTATACGATATGTACATATTGTTACGTTCTTGGATTTTACTAAATCCCGTGTAGACGTTGTTTTATTTCCCGATACAATTCGTACCAAATAAAACGCGGGTTCTTTCTGATTACGATTATTACAATGATTTTATTCACACAACTTTACTTTGCACTTTACTTTACACGACGGTTTCAATTCGCGATCTGATTCACAACTGACTCACTGCCTTTCCATTCCCTCTATTTATATGAGCCCTGCCTGTCGCTACAGAAGTTTCTAGACGATCTGGTAACACCTAGATCACGAACAATCTACCAATGCAACAAACACATTGAGTAACAATAACAACAACAAACTTACTGAGTGAACAATAACAACAAACTTGAGTAAACAAACTTACAATAACAACAACACATATACAGGCGAGGGAATAACAAAGAAAGAGGAATAACAACAACACATACAGGCGAGGGAATAACAAAGAAATAGGAATGACGTTTAACAAGAATTGTACGACAATAACAAAATAGAAAATGAAAGAGGGAAATGGAAGGATGTAGAAAAATCTATACAGTGGTTGTTGTTGTGAAGTTATTCAAATAAACTGCGTAGTAGAAATTTACGTTACAATTCAAATTCTTAAATTAACGGAATTCATCTAAATTAACTTAAATCTAAAGTTATATTCGTAACATTGCCCCCCGCTTAAGCCTGTTCGTCCCGAATAGGCACAGTTCCCGTTCCGTAGGGGGTCAGCCGCTCCAAATGTACAACTTTCATCTTCGACCTGGGACTGTCGCTCCTCTGGATGCGATAAACGACGTCATTTATTTTCGTGACAATCTTGTAGGGTCCTTCCCAGTGCGTTTGCAATTTGGGGCATAGTCCTTTCTTTCGTTGTGGGTTGAACAATAGTACCAGTTGCCCTTCTTGAAACCCATCGGTATTTGCCGCTCGATCGTACCTTGCCTTCATGCGGTTGCTAACCATTTTTATTCGATGTCGGACTGCATCGTGGACTTTACTAAAAGAGTTTTGGCTGTCTTCATCTTGGTTCACATCGTCGTTTGGGGTAGCACCGAATATCAAATCGCCAGGTAGCTTTAATTCATTTCCGAACAGAACTTTGGCTGGGGTCCGGGATGTGGAATCATGAATGGCCGATCTATAAGCCAATAAAAACTTTGGAATATGCTCATCCCAGTCTCGTTGGCCACTGTCCACCACTTTCCGTAGATGTTCTTCAAGGGTGCGATTGAATCTTTCCACCATGCCATCTGATTGTGGATGTAGGGGCGTCGTTCTGGTTTTCTTAATTCCGTAGGAGTCACACATTTCCTTGAAGATCGCTGATTCAAAATTCCTACCTTGATCGGAATGAACCTCAGATGGAACACCATAGCGACAAATCCAATTTTTGCTGAACACATCCACAATTGTCCTGGCTTCTTGATTTGGGATAGCATAAACCTCCGGCCATTTACTGAAGTAATCCATGACCACTAAGACATACCGGTTCCCAGAGTCGCTTGTGGGGAACGGTCCAGCTACATCCATTGCGATTCTTTCAAAAGGGGCTCCTGAATTATACTGCTGCATGTAGCCTCGACTCTTCCGTGTTGGACCTTTAGCTTTTATGCACCTTTCACAATTGGCGATCCAGTCGGCAATGGATTTTTGACTGCCGACCCAGTAGAATCTCTGCTTTACCTTTTCAGCGGTCTTTGCTATGCCAAGATGTCCTCCACTTGGCCCATCGTGAAACTCCGACAAGACATCTCTTATTTTGGAGTCTGGGACGACGATCAAGTTCCGGTGAGATTTACCGTCCTCACTTTCCCATTTGCGATATAGGCAGCCATCTTTTATAAGTAGACTGTCCCACTGGGCCCAATAGGATTTTAAAAGAGGGCTTTCGGAGGTAATTTCTTTACGACTAGGTCGCTTGCCCGTTTCAATGGCCGAAATTACTTTGCCCAGAATGGGATCTCTTCGTTGTTCCGTCGACCAATCTTCACCCGACTCAAACTGCAATAGTCGGACATCAACGATATTCTCCTTATTCTCAGCCTTTGAGCAATGCTTGCATTCTACCTTGCATGGCCGACGAGACAGGGCATCAGCATTACCGTGTTTTCCGCCTTTTCTGTGCTCGATTCTGAAATCATAACTCTGGAGCCTCTCGATCCAACGGGCTAGTTGACCTTCCGGATTCTTAAACCGCAGCAACCATTGGAGAGCAGCGTGGTCGGTCCTCAGCAGGAAATGCTGACCATATAGGTATTTGTGGAAGTGTTTAACGCTCTCAAGGGCAGCAAGCAGCTCTCTCCTCGTCACACAGTAATTCCTCTCAGGCTTCGACAATGTCCGGCTGTAGTACCCGATGACTTTTTCCTGTCCGTCGATTTCCTGGGAAAGGACGCCACCGATGCCGCACGCACTTGCGTCTGTGTCCAGAGCAAACTTTCCGCCAGGTATAGGGTATGCCAAAATGGGGGCTCTACATAGCATGTCTTTGAGTTTACTGAACGCCTCTTCTTGGTCGTTGCCCCACTGGAACCTCTGGCCTTTTTGCGTTAAGCGGTGTAGACAGGCGGCGATGTTGGCAAAATTTGGGACAAATCGACGGTAGTAGGTGCAGAGACCCAGAAAGCTCCGCAGCTCATGGAGATTTCGGGGCTGCGGCCAATCTCTGACGGCTTGAATTTTCTCCTTATCCGTCGATATGCCCTCCGGCGTCACGTGATGCCCCAGGAACTTCACCTCTCGTTGGAAGAGACTGCACTTCTTTGGGTTCAGCTTGAGGCCTGAAGACGAAAGCTGCTGAAGAACATCCTTTAAATTCTTGATGTGTTCGTCGAAGTTGCGTCCCATGACTATGATGTCATCCAGGTATATGAGGCATGACTTCCACTGCAGCCCTTTTAACACACGCTCCATCAGCCTTTCAAATGTAGCCGGGGCGTTGCAGAGTCCGAATGGCATGACATTGAACTGCCAGAGACCCCCATTAACGCCAAACGCTGTTTTCTCCTTATCTTTCTCGGCGATCTCTACTTGCCAGTACCCACTCTGCAGGTCGAGGGTGGAGAACCATGACGTCCCGGCTAATGTGTCCAATGTGTCGTCGATTCTTGGGAGCGGATAGCTGTCTTTCTTGGTGACATCATTTAACTTTCGGTAGTCCACACAAAACCGGGTGCTTCCGTCTTTCTTCTTGACCAAGACCACTGGGGAGCACCATGGACTTGACGATGGTTCTATTACACCACTCTTTTCCATTTCACTTATCAGCTTCTGGACCTCGTCTCTTTTGGCCAGGGGAACACTTCTTGGAGGCTTTTTAATGGGTCGCGCGTCTGCTGTATTGATTTCATGCTTCACCACTGATGTTCTTCCTT